TAAATTTTGAAGTAACTAAATAACTAGCAACAATTCGCACGGCTAACTTCTTTCTACCTCTTTTAAATAAAATAATCAATTTTAAAAATAATAGAATTTAAAAATTTTCTAAATTTAAATTTTTGTTGAAAACACTAAAAAAATTCAATTTTGGAGAAATTATAAATAATTGCAGAAATTCAATTATTTTCAAAAAATAAACTAAAATTCTTATAAAATTCAACTATGTTCAAAATTTGAAAATAAATTCTAGTCAAAATCCCCATTATCTTTATAAATAACATAATTTCTCTTCAAAGTTCAATTATTTTCAAAAATAAAATGCATTTTTCTAATTTCAATGATTTTCAATATCTACTATTTTAATAAAATTTCCCAAAAAGAATTCAATTATTTAAAAAAAAATTTAATAAAATTATATGCAAACATTTAATGATTTTCAAAAATAATAGAAAATTCACAGGAATTCAATTATTTTCAATATCTACTATTTTAATAAAATTTCCCAAAAAGAATTCAATTATTTAAAAAAAATTTTAAGAAAATTCTACTCAAACTTTTAATTATTTTCAAAAAATAATAAAAATTTCACAGGAATTTTATTATTTACAAATTTTTTTATAAATTTCTTCGCAATCATTTAATTATTTTCATAAATAATTGATAAATATAAATTGATTTAAAAATGTATTTCAGTTACAATTTTAGATTATAATTGAATTTTAAAAGCATTAGAGCGTAAATTTTTAGAAATAATTGAATTTTGAAAAGGTTTAAGATTAAAATCTTTGAAAATTTGAATTTTTCATATTTTTAATTAAGAATTCTGTGGAATTAATTTTGTTTTTAGAAACTTTAATTGCGAATTTTTTTGAAATTGTTTAAGGTTTTTATTTTCTAATATATGTTTAATTGAAGAATTTACGAATAATTGAAATTTTGTAAAATTTAATTGTAAACATATGAATTTAAAAATTCTTAAAAAACTTTTTCAAAAATTATTAAAAATAATTGATTTATAGAAGATGTTTAGTTAATAACACGAAAAAAAAATTCAATTTTAAAAAAGTCCGTATAATTTCAATTTGACAAAACATAATATTTAACAAAATTTTAGTCTTTCAATGAAATGAAGTGAAAAAAATTCTGATGATTTCTATTTGTCATTACAATTTCGAATTAATTGTAAAATAAAAATAATTATAACATAAAAATAAAATATACAATCTATCTAAAGTTAACAAAAAACAAAAGTATAAACAATCACTTCAGAGTGCGAGGGACAGAAAAAGTGAATGAATGAAAGAACATTTAAATTAGAGGTGTGCAAAATTCGAATCGAAAGAAAACTCGAATCGAACTACCAATTCGAAATTCGATGTTTCGAATTTCGAATTGGCCGATTCGAATCGAAAGTAAATTCGAATCGAACTAGCAAATTCGAAAATTGGAGTTTCGAATTGTATACAACTCAACTCGGTTACTTTATTCGCACAATTAATTATTCTATAATTTTAATATATAAATAACATACAAATATCAATAATGTGTTGAAAGTGAAGAAAATATTTTGCTTATTGTTTGTAGTTTGTTCAAGAAAAATTGAAGAATTTTTGTATAATTTGAAAAAATTATTTTTTGTGGAATTTTAATTTATAAATAGGTATGATTATAATTCTTAAAAATTTTAATTGTTTTAATTTAAATTTTTTAATTATATTAGTTTGTGTATGTATTTGAATTTTCGGAAATATTGAAAATATTGAAAATAATTCAATTCTTTGCAAGAATTCAATTATTTTCATAAATAATAAAATTCTTCTCAGGAATTCATTTTTTTTAAATTTTAATAAAATTCTTTGCAACTTTTCAATACTATTTTAATTGAAATTTTGAAAAGAATTTAATTATAGTCACAAATTTTAATAAAAGACTTCGCAGTAATTCAATTATTTTTAAAATATTTTACAAAATTTCTCTAAGGAATTTAATTATTGTCTTAAATTTGAATGAAATTCTTTTCGAAAATTCAATTATATTCATGAATGATAAAATACTTTGCAGAAATTTAACATTTGTGTTGTTACTTAAAAAACTCAATGCAGAATTTCAATTATTTTTAATGCAATTTTAATCAAATTTCTCGAAAAATATCATTATTCCTAATAATTTTATTACAATTTGTTGACAACGATTTTTTATTGGCATTGAATTTTAAGAAACATTCAATTATTTAAGAAATTATTTATTTTTGTATTTAAATAATTGAATTCTCGTAGAATTTTCTAACAAAAATTGATTTAAAAATTAATTTCAGTTAAAATTTTATACCACAATTAAATATTAAAAGCAATATAGCGTGAATTTTTAAAAATAATTGAATTTTGTAAATATTATTTTAAGTTTTTATTTTTTAATATTTATTTAATTGAAGAATTTAGGAATATTTGAAATTTTGTAAAATTGAATATTGTAAACTATAATGGATTTGAAAATTCTCAAAAAACTTTTTTGAAAATTATTAAGAATAATCGATTTAAAGTTATCAAAGAAACATTACACGATTTTCCATTACGAGGGAATTAAGTTTATTGGATAAAAAAATACTTTAATCTTCAATTGTTTTCCTGGATTTTGTGTTAAAATAAAAAAATGCAGAAGTTGGAAAAAATTTAAAATATTTTTTTTTAAAAAAGGAATTTTTTCATTTTTGAAACATAAATTTCAATTTTTTTTTGTATTTTATGGCATAAGCGACTCATATTTTTAAAAAAGAATTATTTTCGCTGTATTATGAATACCAGCCTACTAATTTTAGGTTAGGATTTCTGTCAAAATAATTGTGCAAATAAAATAACCGAGTTGAGTTGTACAATTCGAAACTCCGATTTTCGAATCGGCCAATTCGAAATTCGAAACTTCGAATTGGTATTTCGATTCGAATTTACTTTCGATTCGAATTTTCTGTTGTCGAGTCGAATAATTTTCGATTCGACTCGATTAAATGCACACCTCTAATTTAAATTATTATAGTTAATTATTATTTAGTCTAAAATTAAGTGTCTATAATTTAATATTAACATTATTTTAATATAATAATTATTTATATTCTTTGTTCAAAAAGTTGAGTGTATAATAATAATTTTTATTACCTTTTCTATTCTTTAGAATAATGAACATTTTCATAATGAAGATTATTTTCAATTTAAAAATGAAAGTATCAAATAACAATTTTTGCGAAATTCAATTTTTCTCGTAGAAAGTTTAATTATTTTGAATTTAGAAAATCTCATGTCAAATTTGAAATTAGTATCAAAATTTGTTAAATTTTTTTTTTGATACTATATAGTTTTAAAATAATATATAAATTGAAAATTTAATACTAATTTGTTTTTCACTTATGTGTCATAATAATTATTTCTTTAAAAATTACTTAAATTAAAATGACTCAAAATTGTTTACAATAATCAGTGCAATACAACATTCACGCGCGCGGATAATTTACCTGGTAAAATAATAATTTGAATACAATGAATTTTAACATTAAATATAAATTTATGGATTGTAAAAAAATATTTCATTACCAAAATTATTCTTTTCACACGCATATATATATAGATACATATTTAATGAAAGTTGCCAAAAAGCAAAATTAATTAGATAAAATCTAAGAAGAATAAAAGAGTGAAATATGAGTTTGTTGACCTACTCGCAATATTTTGAAGAGAACGAGAGACGCGACCACGTTTAGCTAATTTAGTTTTCGACTTTTCATGGTGTTCCCATCGATCTTTATTATGTACACCTTCCGACAGCTTATACCATTCTCTTATTCCCGAGACATATTCTTTCTCTCTTTCTCGCATAGACACTCCCTTTTAAATTCGCGTTCACGCCATATAATATCGTTATATACACACCCATTTTTGCTTCCGTAACTTATCGGAAGTGCCTCACAACCTTTGGCTCGAAAATTTTCAACGACTATATACATATATACATGTACAATTTTGAATAAAAGCGTTATCATCACTTGCCAGTGAATTATTATTTATCTCATATTCAGTATGTGGTGTACATATTTCGAAGGGGTGGGGGGGGATATTTCGCTTCAAAAATTTCTTTTTTGTTACTAGCAGTTATTGTAACTGGGATTGATTATAACTACCAAAGATTGTTACTCCCATTAATTGTAACTACCAACGATTGTAACTACTAATGATAATTATTGAGTTAAAATAATTTTGTAGTTACAATTACAGTTTTTCTAAGGATCTTAAATTGAGACAAAAAACGAATCAAAAGTGTGATAATTGTTTAGTTAACAATATAGTAACTCCTTTTTTTAGTTTTAGTACTAAAAATTTATTTTAGTTTTTGTTACTTTTAAGTTTTTCTTTTTGCTTTTGTATATTTTGCATAAAGAAAAATGAGGAGAATGAAGAATATTTTGGTCGTTTTTGTTTCGAGCGATCGCCACACTAATAATTCGGCTAAACGAAGGTGCGTGCTGCATGCAAGGGAAGAAGCCGACATATATATATATACGGTGCCGCCTTTACTCCCTTTTTGCAAACGAGAATATTGATTGCACCGTTTCATCCAAAAATCATGTAGAAAATATATATTTTGAAAGTAGGCGATACGACGCCCAAAGGAGAACTAAACGAACCAAGCAACAAGAATTAGTTTTCAAACCATCCAATTTTCTCGTCTCGCTCAAATCATGTCAATTGTAAAATAATATTATATAATATATTTTACTGTTTATATCTACACATCACTTTTTTTTACTTTCTTTTCTTCTTTTCTACTTTGTTCTATTTTAAAACAGTTTTTTTTACTATATTTTTGAAATAAAATTATGTACGTTTATTTTTATATATCGTTATTACCTATTTATTATTTTTTTTTTTACAAATTTCTCTCCCCCCTCCTCTCACAAAATAAAAACAAGTTTTAATAACACGTGCACGTGTCACTTTCAAATTTTCAAAACAAACAAAAACGTTTCATTCAATTCACAATATATCAATAACAATATACCTAAAGACAAGTTTTATTTGTGAATATAAATATTATATAAAATCTTACCAGAATAACTGCGCGTCATCATTATCATCATCATCCGGTTCATTGTTTCCCATTGACCTTCACTTATTCCAAAAAAAACATTCTTCGTTTCTTAATATCAATTGTTCACGAAAAAAAATTTTCATTTCGAAGACAATACTATTCGGAAAATATACACATTTTCGCTAAAGAAAGAAAAGAAAAAAGAAGCAAAAACACTTTGAAATTACTTCTCTAACTTTTAGAAATATATTTTCACAACAAAAATTTCTTTCTCTCTTCATCTTTTTTCGAGTGAAAAAGATGAAAAATAAATAAGAATGTGATGCGAAAAATTAAAAGAAATGAGAAGGAAGCAACCTTTTAGGATTACAGGGCATCGATCGTTGCGTTGTAAGACAGAGAGTCATCGTCAAAGGTCAAGTAAGGTGTCGCGTGTAAAGATTGTTATTTCACGTGCAAGACTTTAATGCTATATATGAGTGCGCGCCATTTTGATTCGTCATCCACCACATCGGGAAATCCTCCCTCCCCACCCACCCTCAGTTATACTCTTTCATTTCACCGCGAAACTGCGATCACCACCCGTTTTATACAGTCGTTGTCGTCGTTTTACAACACTTTCAAATGGTCTATAAATGCAATTCTTTTCTCGATAAACCGCGCGGATGATTGTGCTCTGCTCGCACTGAAAGTCTGTCTTATTTCCTTTTCCATATAGAGGACAAAACTACTATATTTAAAGTAGTTTACATATTAACTAGTATTTCTATTTAAGTTAACATTATTACCATATTTATTATTTTTTAATCACCGTTTTTCCTAAAGATAGTAAAAAGACAATATTATTACCAACAACTATTTCTGTATACAATTTATTTATCACTATATTTTTACGTTTTTTGTCATATCTAAAGAACCAATAACAAGAAAAAACTTTCAACACTAAAGAAATGAGAAAAATTTTCTCTTTAATACCAAGAAAAAAAAATAATAAATAACAAGGGGGAAATACGTTTTCTATTAAAGAAATTCACATATATACATAGAGCGAGGCCGCGTTCTGGCGCCACGCATTTAACTGCGCAGATATTTTCTATCGCAAGAAACCATTGCCATCGTGTATATAGTCATTGTCATCGTTATACAAACTCCCTATCACTAATACTAAAACTATCTCCGCTAAGATTCGGTATCGCGACAACATGCAATAAAGCCCTTGTCACGCGTCATGCTCACGCGTGTAAACATTGCGGGCACTGGTTCTCGTATCGAGAGACAAAGAAGATAGGGAAATTGTAACTATCAGCGATTATAACTACCAAAAATTGTTACTACCAATGACTACCAACGTAATTAGCAATGATTATAACTATACTAAAGATTGCAATTGCTAACAATTGTAACTAACCAGTGATCGTAACTGCCAAAGATTGTGACTACCATGATTACAACAACTAATGATTCCAACTATCAATGATTGTAACTACCAGTGATTGTAACTATCAACGACTGCAACTACCAATGATTGTAACAAACAATGATTGCAACTATCCACGATTGTAATTACCACCGATTGTAACTATCAAGGATTGTAATTACCCGCATTTGTAACTTATCAATGATTGTAACTAACAATGATTGCAACTAACAATGATTGCAACTATCAACGATTGTAACTACCAATAATTGAAACCACCAATGATTGTAACTTTCATTCTTTGTTACTTGCAATAATTTAAAGACTAGGTAGTTAAAAATTCTGTAACTGTCAGTAACAGATGCTCAACTGAATGCTATAACTAAACATCAACTATTTTTCAACCACTTACTTACGAAAGTTTAAAAACTAGTTGCATTTAAAAAAACACAGCTCAAACGCGTCTTGTTTCAAATGCTACCAATTTTTCATTGATAAATAAATATAAGCTAACTTTAATTTTTGAAAATTTGTGTGTAAAACTATTGCATAAAAGTTGCCTGGAGGTTATCTTTGCACGCGCTCGAGTTTTAGAGAAAGTGTGTATTTGTTTGTTGTTTAAAGAAGAAGAGCTTTTCCCGCTCGCTCCTCCTGCACTGTAATACGCACTATATACATTTACAATAATTAACAAAATGAAAACATGAATCGATTTTATTAAAAAATAACCAGTTCACTTTCCTTTCAAAACAAGAAACATTTCCCTTTTCTTTTTTCCTCTTTCTCCTTTAAGTCTATTGATTTATTTTCCATTTTTTCCTATTGGCCTATTTTTCTTTTTTTTCGTTCCGTATTTTAGTCTACATCCCTTTTTACAAGCAATTGTCACTTTTATTGAAAAAAACCTTTCTTGTTCCCTTTCCTTTCTTGTTTATTTTGAATTTCTTATTCTGTGTTTTGGTTTGCCGGTGCGTCGCGAGCAGGAGCACAACAACAAACAACAACTACCTACAGCTCACACTAATATTATTATATACATGTAATACTTATACACACCACCATGATGATAAAACGCGAATACATATTATGTGCGCAGTGCTTCATTGCGCAGCTCTCAGTGAGACGCAGTTTGCGGGTTGCGTGGTATGCCGACACTGGCTTGCCCTGGTCCGGTTAGGTTACCAAAAACTCTGGGTGGCCGACGAGGAAAGAGAGCGCGAAATAAAGGAGGAGAAACAACAAGTAAGGTAACGGGAACGAATAAAGGAGTAAGCAGAAGGAAACACTGAGAACGATACATATATGTGTGTATGCACTTCTTGAGACCGACGACCAGTTCGTTCACTGCACGAGACACACGTAATGAAAACAACCAGATTCACTCCACACTAAATATTCCGTCTATTTCTTCTGTTTGTTTTTAATATTTCACTTCGTCTTAGCAACCACTGTCTAGTACTTTTTTGCCATCACTGACTACAATAAATTATGGTTACTTTTTACTGACAATAATTTTAACTGTCGTTACTTTTTACTACTAATTTCTATAACTATTATTAGTTTTTACAATTAATTATTACAAATGGCTTTTGTTGTTACTAACAGTGATTGCAATCACCGACGACAGTAAATACCTGCGTTTGTAATGATAAATGATTGCAACTATCAACCATTGTAATTACAGGGTTGCCACAGGTCAGGGAAATTAGAATTGGTCAGGGAAATCAAGGAAAAGTCAGGGATTTTTATTAAAAGTACTGGAAAAAAATTTAATTTTTAGAATTTATAAGAAAATTCTGAATTTCTGACAATAATTTCTTTTTAAATAACTTAATTCAATTACAGTGGAACCTCGATTATCCGAACCTCTCTGTTATCCGAACCCTCTATTATCCGAACCGAAAATCATCTTATCCGAACTTCTGTTATCCGAATTTTTCAATTATCTTTATATAAATAATAAAATTCTTCTACGAAATTCAATTATTTTTAAAAAATTTAATAAAACTCTTGGGAAAATTTTAATTATTTACCTATAAAATATTTTCACAATTCAATGATTTTCAACATCTATTTTAATAAAATTTTCCAAAAGAATTCAATTATTTGAACAAAATGATAATAAAAAATTTCACAGGAATTCAATTGCTTACCAATTTTTTTACAAACTAATTCAATAATTTTAAATTTTTTAATAAAATCTCTCGTGAGAATTCAAATATATTTCAAGGAATTTTTAAAAAATAGTTCTGAGAAATTCAATTATTTCGAAAAATTTAAATAAAATTCTTTTAAAAAATTCTATTATTTAAAAAAATGTTAACAAAATTCCTTAAAAGATTTAATTAATAAAATTTTCGTAAAATATAACATACTTCCTAGGAATACAATTATTGTCAAAAATGTTTGTTAAAATCTTCGAAACAATTCAATTATTTTCTTAAAAAAAAAAAATTAAACTCTTCAAAGCAATTCAATCATTTAAGAAATTTTAATAGTCAAGAATTCAATTATTTTTAAAAATTTTGATAAAATTCTTCATAAAAATTAAATTTTAACGAATATTTACTTATATAATGAATAATTTATTTTTGTATTTAAATAATTGAATTCTCGAAAAATTTTCTAATTAAAAAATGAATTTGACTTAAATCTTTGAAAATTTGAATTTATAGTTACGATATTCTTATGATATAAACTATAATGATTTTATCACTCTGTCATCTTAAATTTATTATAAGTTATTGAATTTCAGAAGGTTTCAATTTGAAAATATTAATTCCTATAGAAAAATAATAATAATTAAACACTAACAACAATTCGCGCGCTAAAGTGCGCGGCTATAACTTCTTACTACCTTTTAAAAAAAAATTGGTTATTTTAAAAATAATAGAATTTAAAAATTTTCTAAATTTAAATTTTTGTTGAAAACACTAAAAAAAATTAAATTTTGGAGAAATTACAAATAATTGCAGAAATTAAATTATTTAAAAAAAAAATGAAATTCTTATAAAATTCAACTATGTTTAAAACTTGAGAAAAATTCTCGTAAAAATCCCAATTATCTTTATAAATAACAAAATTCTTCTCCAAAGTTAAATTATTTTCATAAATGTCAAAAACATTCTTGTCCTTATTTCAATTATTTTCAAAAATAAAATGCATTTTTCTAATTTCAATGATTTTCAATATCTACTATTTCAATAAAATTTAACAAAAAGAATTGAATTATTTCAACAAAATTTTAATAAAATTATATGCAAACATTAAATTATTTTCATAAATAATAAAAATTTCACAGAAATTCCATTATTTTCATAAATAATAAATTTTTTCCAAGGAATTCAATTATTTTCATAAAAATGGTTATTACAAACAATGGTTGTTAGAAAAATAGTTAAAAATAAATGGAATTGAAAAAAAATGTTTGTTACTAAAAACAATTATTAATTACAGCAGAAGGAGAAAAAGAACTATAAACTTGAAACTCCAGGGAAAATAAACAAACGTTTTGAATTTTTGGTGTTCCCAGCACCCTGTTTCGCGAATAAAGTTCCCTTGGTACCTTGACGCGCACACTGCCGAGGAGGGAGATTAAGGGGAGAGTCAAAAAGGGCTGCCGAAGAGAGGAGTGGAAGGGGGGAAGCACACAGTGCGCGCCGATATCGCGAGAGTGCATCGGGCCAAGTGCGTGAGTGTCGTCACATCCGGTATACACACCGTCGTTGTGTCGACGAGCCGCACGCACACTCGAGACTTCTCGAGCACCGGTAGAAAATTTTTATATCACTGCATTGCATCTACAACAATGGAAAAGAATAAACAACTTCTTGGAGGAGCGAAATTGAGAAAAATGGATTTTTTTTTACTCTCAATAATAGAAAAACGGATCTTAAGAAAAATGGATTTTCTTTACTTTCAATAAGAGAAAAGGGCTAAAAGCAATAAGCAATAAGTAAAAAAAGTCAAAAAAAAAAATTATTTTTCCAGAAAAAAAACCCCCTAAAAGGAACAAGAGAACAGAACGAAAATAACATTGTACACCAAAAAAGAGCGAAAATAACAGAAAAAAGAAGAAAAGTAACAAGGAAATCACGTTCTGCAAATTAAGACACAGCAGAAAATGAAAGTAGCTTCGTGGTAAAGACGCCTAATTCACAATTCGAGCCAAAAGTGGTTCGAATCTCGGTGTCAACAATTTTTCTCCTTTTTAGCAAACGTTTTTTTTTTTACAATTTTTCTCTTTTTTTTGTACAATTCAAGAAGAAAAGCAAGAAAATTATGCGAAAAATTCTAAGTAAAACAATGAAATTCAAGTAAAAGAAATTATAAAAATTCAATGACTAAAGTTTTGTATAAACGGTGTAAAATACTAGAGTGGGATTTTCTTCGTTTCACGTGAGTTCCTCGTCGATGTAAATTGCCGTGCGTGTATGTATATATGTATATACTTACGCATATACACGCCTCAATGCGTATATTTACGACGCGTAAAACACATGTACAGTTACACACAAACATCCTGTACACACAGGATCTTGAGCAGAACACTACGTTCCTTTAGGGTTCACGCTCTATTTTCGCCTATATATGTTATATAAAAATAAATATATTTTTTTACCAATAATTTCATTCTCTTAGTCTATAAATTAAAGCTGGAAAAAATAATACAGAAGAATAATAAATTTTTCAATCAATAACAATAAAAAAAAACTACCAATTATTGTATATTCGCGATCGTTTTTAGTTATAAATTTAAAGTACAAAAACTGAATCGTGAATTTGAATTGCAAAAACCGATTGATAATTGCAACAACCAATAAATTTCGTAACTTACCAAAATTTATAATTCACCATTATACTCTAAACTATCACAAAATTTTTGTCTTCCAAGCTTCCCAACCGCATAATTCATTCTACTTTAAAGTACAAAAAAAAAAAAAATTAAATTATAAAAACATGATATATATTCAACATTTTTATACTATCGCAAAGTCATGAAACTTAACGAGACAGAAAATTTACCTTCGTCTCAAGGATTTACCTAGTTTTCAACATTTTTTTCGCCTCTTTTCTTCATACTTTTGTTTGTCTTGACGTAGAAATAACATAACAACACATCTAAAAATGAAAATACTGTTTGACAATGATATGGATTCCTTATTTTTTCTCCCTCCCCTCTTTTGCGAATCTCGTAAACAAACAAAATCTCTGACGTCTTGATGCAAATAATAATATGAATACGATATCATTCGCGGGAATCTCTATGACGAGAGCGTTTTGTTTTAAATTCCCTCATAATCATAATTTACAGTTTATTTCATGCATCGACTATATCGCATTCCGCGAGTTCAAATAACCAAGTAGTGTAGTAAACATTTATTACCATTATTGAAACAAAAAGGAAAAATATTTTTTCAGAGAGAGAGAGAGAAAAATTTTTCTATTAAAGAAGAGAAATTATTTACTTTTTCTTTAATGAAAAATTTATTCCTTGATTTATTTATTATTTACTTTATTCCTTATTTAATTATTTATCTGTTTATTTATTTTTCTACTTACTTTAATCTTTATTTTACTATTTATCTGCTTAATTATTTACTTTATTCTTTATTTTATTATTTAATTATTAAATATTCAATAAAATAATAATTATATAATGATACAATTAAATATCCAACATTATTTAATATTTATTAATTTTTTACTATTTGTCAGTCATGTTTCGAAAAACGTAAATAAAAAAAAATAAATATAATTAATTAAATAAAGAAAAAATAAACAGAATAAAATAAATAAAATTAATAAATAAATATTAAAATAAAAGTATACCAAAAAAAAAAAAAATCGTAAATAGAAATAATTAAAAATAATCTAAAACAATAATTAAAATACAGAAAATCATTTTTTATTTTAATTTTCAATTCTGAAAGTGCATGAAGAATAGAAAATAAATAAATTTCTTTAAAATCGGTAAAATTCATTATCACTATAATTGTCGAGTTCTAGTCACGTTCAACGTAAATGGGTCACGTGATTAGTGACGTAGGTCGTAGAAACATAAATGCAAGCGATCACGTGTTAATGAACGTACGTCACTGTGACAATGCGATTCTCCTGGGATCGTAAAAATTGAAAAATAAAAATATTAAAATAAAAAAGAAAATAAAACCAATTTGAATAATAATACTACTTTTGTTAACAAAAAAAAAAAAAAAAAATTACCTATATGTTCACTTAATAATCG